CCCCCTCCTCCCTTCCTCATCATCCCCCTCCTTTTCTTACTCTTCCTCCCCATCCTCCTCCCTCTCCTCCTCCCTGGGCATCTTGGACGTGTGCATTTTTTCTCGGCGATGGGTATCAAGGAGCTGCATGGATTATCCTACGAACCAATAAACGCACGAAGCCGAAAACAGGCACGGGGAATGGACGCTCGAGAGATGGCAAGATCCCGCCCCCCCCCCCGTGATCGCTTTCCCTTTCCCTCTTCGCCCCTCCCCGATCCTTCCTCCACCCCTCCTCCTCGCTCGATCCTTTCGTCCTCCCTGCTCCGTCTTTGGTCCCACTGGGGGCGGACGTTCCGACTCAACTGCCGATGCTGGAGTTTCTCGTACGGTAGAGGGAAACAATTGTTGAACACTCCCCCTCCCCCCAAACTCAACGTTGGCGCGCGCGGGGGAGAATGCGGTCGAAATGCATCTCATCAGACCCACCGCCAACTGTGAACATTGGGGGGAGGGGGAGGCGTTGACAGATGAATGTGGCATGAGTGCTCGCTAATTTGTTCCGCGGCCTGCCTGTATCTCCCTCATTTCTGATGTTCCGTGTTCGTGTTGGTTCACGCATGAGAATCGGGTCGGTTAGCAAACACACTCTGTTGGTAACGTCTGGCCTGCAGCTCGCGAGCCTGTTGCTTTCAGAGCGGCAAGGCCACACGCGTCACATACCAATCCTCGTTTCGCGTCTTGGTGGCTACAGTCGAAGGCTGCATCAGTGTGCACCATGGTCAGGACAGTCCGAGGCGATCTCGAGGACAGAATCCCATTCAGGAGGCATGCGTCGTGCATCAGACAGAGCACATACGTGGCCAGCCCCTTCCAGACAATCATTCGTCGTGGTGGTCGAGGTCACTCACGACAGTCACTCGGTCGCAAAAGGAAGAATGGAGAAGCGCAGGTACGAGAACTAATAAAGAAAAAACAAAAAAAAACAGCGCGGTCAAGCTTGCGACGACGGCGCCCACAGGTGTACACGATCTTTTGGCTGTGGTTCCGGGGAAAATTGGTTAGGCATGGTGCGCAACCTGCAGAATTTGCCTTTGCCACAGCTTGCGGTACGGAAGGTATGTATTTCATCGGGGGGCCAAACGGGCATACGCACGGGCAACGCATCAGCCGCTCAAAGAATTTCAGGAGTGGGTTGGCACGGCAGGACATAGTGCACAAACAGATTGAGCAGGTACCAGTGGAAGCAGACGAGTTTCATTTGAAGGCAAATGTGCAGCTCACCCTATCGACATCGTCGACCGGAAAGCTGATAGCTACCACAAGTTCTGGAAGGCGCAGAGCTTGGATTTCGAGAAGCACATGCGCGCAATGGACACTGCACGTCAGTTGGCACAGGTGGAACAGATGGAACTCCTCGTTGTTTCAGAACTGAGGAGAGCTCCGGCAAAGAGGAGACCTCGTGCAGGGTGAGGTTGCGATCAATGACCCCCCGTTCATTTCGAAAGATGACTGGGCGCGGCGGTGACAGGAAACACTGCACTGAGATTGCTGTCGGCCTTGCTCTCGCCCTTGTCGTCCTGCTGCTCCCCCCAGTGCCAACCATCGACCTACCTCGGTCCTGGCAGCGCCCATCTTCCGTTCAAAGGCCGGCGCATGCGATTATCTTTCAGTCGGGCGTGTCCCCTTACAGGGGGATGGTGGGCGAAGAATCAAAAGTCTGCACAAAAGATTCCAAGGATGCCCAAACACATTCGAAAAAAGCAGTCCACCTCTTATGGTTGGGGCTATTTTTGAATATTCCCCCCGTAGAGGGACAGGCCCGACCTGAGATCTTGTGCCCCTTTTTTGACCGCGCCCGCAGCTCTTCATCCGCACAACTCGGGCCCAGGCTTGGCCTCCTCTCCGCCGCCGCCGCCCTCCTCGCCGCCGCCCGCCGCTGCCGCCGCCGTCGTCGACGCACGGCAGGCTCGTGCCGTGCGGACGTGGCTGCGCCCCCGCCTTGGGCGCTCGTTCGAGCTGGCACGCCGCGAGTGGCTCAGAAGCGGCCCTGGAGAGGAAAACAAAAAAAAACGCCCTGGAACGATCTCTGGCGATCGAGATCCCCGCCCGTCCCTCGAGGCCGCAGCGGCCCATGCGGTGCCAAAGAGAAACGCCGGCGCCAGGATCGCCACGAAACGCGGACCTGCCGCACGCGGTGTTTTTTTTTTTTTTTGTTTTCAGTGTTTTGCCGATCGGCGCGGGCCCCCAAGCCCCCCCTCCCCCCCCCCCATGGAGTAGATCTTGGCTGTTTTTCGGCGCCTGATTCGAGCGGGTGGAGTCTCCCCCCGAGGCCGCACTCTTGCAAACAGTCGCACTGGGCAGGGGTCTGGAGCCAGACCCCCCCCTCCCCCCCCCTCTTGCCGCCCACTGTCGAAACGCCGAATCAAACAACGCTCACGTGGGGAAGCCTCGATGCCCTCCCGCGGCGGCAGGCCGGAGTTCCTGAACCGCCTCGACGAGCTCATCATCTTCCGGGCCCTCGCGCAGGAGGACCTCCGGCAGATCGTCCCCCCGGCCCGTTTATGCGCGCGGCGCGGGCGGCGCCGCTCAAACGGCTGGCGCCGTCCAGCTCGTGGCTGGCCGGGGCAGGGGCCGCTCGTTCCCACGTCCGATGCCTCGATTTTGCTCAAGACGGGGTCCGCGGAAGTCGCGACCCTTTTCCTAGTCTTTGCTGGGTGGTCCCAGGGCCCGGCGAGGACCCCCAGAGGCCGCAGATTCTGCAGATGGGTTTGTCTGTAGGCTTCCTAGCTCCGTGCGTAGAGAAATGGTCCACAACGTCCCGCACCCCTCCTCTTTGCCCCTGCACGCGTCCTCTGTCAGACATGGCTTCCTCTGTATCCGCATGGCTTCTTCTCCTCTGTTGCTCGTGACCTCTTCTGCTGCGCATGGTTTCCTCTGCCATCCGCATGGCATCCTCTGTATCCGCATGGCTTCCTCTGCTACCCGCGTGGTTTCCTCTGTGTCCGCATGGCTTCCTCTGCTATCTCACTGGCTTTCTGTGGCTATCCAAATGGAATCCCAAGCAATATGTCAGCAATGATCGAACTCACAAGTATAGTAGAGCAGGGCAGAGCAGAGTAGAGTAGAGCAAAGCAGGGAGGCGTAGAGTAGAGTAGAGAAGAGCAGAGGAGTAGAGTAGAGAATAATAGAGTAGAGTGACGGAGAGCAGAGCAAAGTAGAAGCGGAATATAACAGGAGTAGGAATAGAGTAGAGGAAATTAGGGTACAACAGAGTACGATAGAGTGGACTAAGGTAGGGTCGGGTAGGGTAGAGTAGAGTAGGGTCGAGTAGACCGGAGTAGAGTAGAGTAGGGCAGAGTAGGGTAGAGTGGAGTAGGGTAGGGTCGGGCACGGTAAGTACATAGGGTAGAGTAGAGCAGTATAGTAGAGTTGGGCAGATGGTAACGTAGAGACGGGCATAATAAAGTAGTGTTGACTAGAGCAGAACAGAGTAGAGCACAGTAGAGTAGAGAAGGGAAAATTATACTCGAGTAGAGTGGGAGTATAATAGAGTAGGAGAAGAGTAAAGTCAAGTAGGACAGGCTAGAGTAGAGCAGAGTCGGGTAGGGCAGATGATAAACCAGAGTCAGGTAGAAGATAGGAGAGCAGGATAGCGTAGTGGAGAGCAGAGTGGAGTAGAGGAGAGCAGCTTAGAGTAAGGAGTAGAGCAGAGCAGAGTCGGGTAGGGTAAAGCTGGATAGGGTAAGGTAGAGTAGAGAAGCAACGGCGCTCTTGCCGCGCAGCGCGCCCTTCACCCCCTCCTCCCCCCCCCGCCGCCTGAGCGCGACGACAACGGCGCATGGCGGCGCGCGGTCGGGGGCACCCACGCGATCATCACGGGCCATGTCTACTACGACGACGCGAGTTGCCGTCGGCGCTGGCACTGGCCAGAAGCGCACCGAGCACGGCGGGGCTTCGCCGTCGCGGCGCAGGGGCCAGCTCAGACGCAACTTCGGGCTGCATGATGGGCAGCGCTACAGGTGCTGCGAGCCGTTGTGGCACCGGTCACGCTGTACTTCGACCACCTGCTTTCGTCCAGGGCATGGGTGGGCCTCGGAGAAGAGGGGGCGCTGTCTCCCACGCGCCACAGGCCAGACACCTGGGAGCCCACCCGGCACGTGTACATCAACCTCGGTGGCAGCGAAAGCGCCCGCGTGGTTCACGTCGGTGGCTACGGGAGCGCGGACGCCCACAGGGAAGGCAACGACTTGGCAAATGCGATGGCCAATCACGGCACGGAGCAGCGCGACGTCGGAGGCGCAGTGCTACAGCAGGCGCAGCAGATGCTCAGGCAGCCCAGGCAGGCAGCACGCCACATCGCCAACGCCAGCCCGGAGTTGGCCAGCGGAGCGCCCCACTAGGTCAGGGGGCCCTCCACCGCAGAGGACGTCGAGGACGAGGCATCAACGCGAAGAGCAGGGCTGTCCCACCGCAGAAGCGGTCGCACCTCCCCCCTTTGTGGCCACGCTGGCGACGCCCGAACGGCGACGCCCGGAGACGCGGCCGGCGCACGAGGGCGGCCAACACCGATGAGAGCGGGCGCGGAGGCGCTGCGACGGCAGAAGTGCCACGTTGCAGCGCCACAGCGCGCGCAGCGCTGCAGGCACGCGCGAGGCCCGCGCTGAAGACCACCAGGACGGCGGGAGCCAAAGGGTGCGGTCCGGAACGCAGCTGCCGCCACCCGACAGCCCACAGGCCGTGCCCGTGCCGCGCCAGCTGGAGACCATCATGACGCCCGGGGGGTGCGCGCAGCTCGGGGAGGCCACGACGCAGGCGGCGCCGCTCGGGGAAGGTCGAGGGCGGCGGGCCCCGAGGCCATGCCAGACCCGCGCTTGCAGACGGGCGGCGGAGCAGCCCTGCAGCCGCGGTGCAGCCCGCAGCCCGGCGGCGCGGAGGCGATGACCGACGCCAAATCTGCCGCCGCGAGCGCATCATCCAGCTCTGCGGGACGCCCCTGAAACAGCCCGCACACTTCGCAGATGGCCATCACGAGCGATGAGGATGTGGCCCAGGTCGCGGCTACCAGACCCGAGAGCGGCACGGAAATCTCCCGACGGCACTCTCGATTGGCGCAGGCAGTGCGCGCCATGCGTCCTCAACCACATCGCACGCACAGCCTTCGATGCCCCATTCGAGGACGGGGCGGACCTCACGGAGCGCTTGCGCAGGACGCGAGCGATCCACGACCGGGCGTGGAGGGCAGGTCTGCGGTCTCGGCGCAGCATCCGAATCGTTTTCTGGGAGTTCGAGGCGGAGGTGGCGACGCACATCGAGGAGATGAACGGACGCCGGCGATGGTTGTGCAAGCGGTCCCCTCAGCCGCCAGTGCATTGAGTATGCGATGGCCCGACGATGAACCCCGAGAGCGAGAACACAGCGAGTTCGGCGCCTACTACAAGCCAGATACCAGGAACCCCGTCCCACGCATCGAGAATGAAGTGTCGTTCCGAGCAAGGCGCTGGATCCAAGACGCGGGACCCGGCGCGGAGTCGAACGCCGAGGACGATTGGAGCAATTGGCGCATACCCGAGGGAGGGCCATGAGGGGGCGACGAGGATTGCGAAGGCCCCGCCGGCGCGCACTGTTCACCGAGGCCTGGCAGGTGGCCCAGAAAGGGGTACCGACCGACGGGGTGCAGCGTCGCGCGCTTTTCCGACGGACCGCCCGCGTCGGCACGCACTGTTCACCGAGGCCATACTGCTGGCTCGGCAGATATTACTGACCGACGCGGCGTCGGGCAGCCTTGCCGCCGCTGCGTCAGCCAACAGCATGGCGAGCACCAGAGCGCCCAGCGGCCCCGACAGCCGTCCAGAGCGGCAGATGTGGCGGCGACGGCAGCGGAGCAGCGGGCGGCAGACGCGGCTGCAGAGCCACCTGGAGCTGCGGGCGCGCCCAGGCGCCGCGGAGGAGCGAGACCTCGGACCGCAGCGAGGCCGCAAGAGCCGCCGCCGAAGAGGGGAGAGGGGGGGCACTGGGTCGGCAGGGGACAGGGCCCCTCCTGCCGCGCCTCCGCCCAAGGCCATCGGCGCGGCCATTCCGTCGCAGGCTGCGCGGGGCCACGTCGCGTTCGCTGGCGGCGGCATCATCGGCTGCCAGAAGTGCGGGCCCCAGTCGTCGACGGCGCGGGGCTCCCTGCTGATGACCTGCGACCCGCGGGGCAGCATCTGGGCAGAAACCAGATTGACCGCATCTAGAGGTTCCTCAGCGGGCGGCACCCCACGGGCGCGAAGATATTCGAGGTCCTAAGGCGCCTGCAGAAAGGCGACCCACAGGCGGAGTGGCTGCAGCTCGGACAGCGTGTTCATCGCCGTCGGTTGCTGCCGCCTCGTGATCGTGAATGAGAATATGCTCACCGCCGTGGTGCTCGTGGTCGTGCGGGCGCTGATCGCGGTCCTGCCTGCCGCCGCCGCCTTGGCCTCTGCGGGCAGCTGACGTGTTGAGCCACGCGGGCGGGCGTGCACGGCAGTTCGGTCTCACCCGTCCGCGGCGAGGTTGGAGGCTGGCTGACCTTGTGGTCGACCGAGGTCCTGATCGTCATCATCATCAGCAGCAGCATCATCATCATCACCACCACCATCATCATCAGTAGTACCATCACCAACATCAGTTGTCAACCGTATCATCATCTAAATCACCACCACCATCATCAACAACATCTCCGTCATCACCCGCCCCATCATCATCAGCATAATCAGCTTCACCGCATCATCATCAGTAGCAGCAGCATCAGCATCGGCAGCATCATCATCATCAACAGCAGCATCATCATGCTCATCATCACCATCATCCTTACCGTCGTCATCATCATCATCAGCAGCATCATCAGCATCATCGTCATCGTCATCAGCATCCGCCTCACCACCACCGTCATCATCAGCAGCATCATCCTCATTATCAGCATCACAAACATAATCATCAGCATCACCATCATCATAATCTGCAGCCGTATCATCAGCATCACCATCAGTATCATCAGCATCATCATCATCATCATCATCATCATCAGCAGCAGCAGCAGCAGCAGCATCAGCATCATCAGCATCAGCATCAGCATCAGCAGCAGCAACATCGTCATGGGCATCATGGTTATCAGCATCATCATATGCATCATCAGCAGCAGCATCGTCATCGTCGTCGTCA